TTTTAGTTACTGTAAGAACAAACTGTTTGGACTCAATGACTGCATTTTACAGGCTTTCATCTGAGGCAGAGATTAGGAGAAAACATCGGAGTCTACCCTCCATTAAAGACAGAATCACTATTTTCTGTTCCTTCTTGTGTTTCTTTAGAGTCCATTCCATATCCCAGGGCAATTCACCTGGTACTCTTTACCACCTTTAGTCTCATCATTTTGGGAGTAAGTTAAGGTAGGTGGAGATGGGCAGTGAGTAGAGAAGCATCTGACTCAGTCTGCCTACATAGCAGATACGGCACAGTGCCAAGCAGATTTCACTGTCAACTTCATCTGAGCCTAATTTGTTTTCTGTGTGTGTGTGTGTGTGTGTGTAAGTCAGTTCTATGTGGTTACTTCATATACTGGCTGAAATTTGTATTGGGCTCCTGAACAAAATCTAGAAGAGGCCCTTCTTAGTCCACTGTTTTCAGGAATACTTTTTTCTTACCAAATTAAGACACTTCTAGATTTTAATTTATTTGTACATGTATCCAGTATTCTTTTTGACACACCTACTGACTATACCTAGGGTACTTTCTATGCACTAGGGATAAAGTAGTTGCAAAATTGACCCTCAACGAGTTTTTAGTCCAGGGGACAGACAATAAACAAATAAGCAATTAATGTGTAATTTGATGTCATGCAGCAGCGCATGGTGTAAAGGAAAGTAAAGCATGGTAAGGATCATTAAGAGCTTGCAGCCTTCATTGGTAACTTCCTCTGCTGTTTCGGGGAGGTTTTTTTAAGGTACTGAGTCATTTGAAGTTTGAAAGGGAACCCGCTAGTTGGGGAGGTCTGGGGAGTGCAAAATGCTTAGTTGAAAGATGCGGAGAAGAGGTCACTCATCTAGTTAGTGGTTCAGACATAAATGTCTTTGACTAGAGAGCACTCACTCTTTCCAGGGCACCTTTTAGCTTCAAAGCAGAGAGTGAGATTTGCTGCCCAGAGAACCTGTAAGTACATTTATTATTTGTTTTCTCTGTGCTCCCTTTCTTACCCCCTTCCATTGTTGTATCTTGGTTGGACTGTATTAATTTCACCTCACTCCTTTCCTTCTGCCTTTTTCTTGCCTTCTATTTATTAACAAGAACTTTGAACTTTTTATTTTCTTTTTTTAAATGGGCTTTATATCCAAATTAACATTTATACTGTCAAGACTTCTAGGGCTTCTGTCTTACTTTCTTCCTACCACTAATTTAAGGAGAAACAAAAGGCTGTAGCCCACAAATTCAGGGGGCCTGGCTCTGCCTCTGAGTAGCTCTGTGTCCCTGAAGCAGGTCATACTGTGGACATCAGCTTCTTCTGCAAGGTGAGGCATTTGGATTAGATGGCCTCCACGGCCTCTTATAGATATAAAATTCCGTGGACATTTCCTGCCAGGGGTGTGTGTGTGTGTGCATGTGTGTGTGTGTACACATGTGTACATACTCTCTAGAGCCTGGGACTTCACATTGTCCATACAGAAGAATCTATCAAGGCACTTTTCATACTCACATTTATGGAGTTGTGTGTTTGCTATTCTGATATAACTAATATATGCTCTCTTTTACTGATGATAACTGTCCTTCAGGCCAGAATCAGTAGTTATCATAAACAGAAACAAGGAGTTGGGTGTATGTCTGTCTGCATCCTTACTTGTCCCAATAATACACTTACCTATCTATTCCTCTATATACTTCCCTACTCCCCACCCCCAACACACACATACATCATTCCCCAAGCTTTATATATATTTTTTAATTGTATCTTTTAAGATTTAATCTTATTTTGAAACCAGTAGGGCATAGGAATGTGAGGATGGTCAGACTGGAGAAAGAACATTGCTAATGTGTTATTCTCTATTCTTGGAGTCAGAATTAAAACTGCTTTGCTGTTCTGTCTTAATTTGCTAAAGCATCTGAGAGAACAATCATGAAAGAAGAGTGCTTCCCCCATATCTGAAAAAGAACCAAGGGACTTTCCTTGGAGGGCCTTCCCATTTTGTTTGCCCAGCTTCTTTCCCAGTTGGAAAGGAAATAATATTAGTGCAGAAGTGCAGGGAGAGAGAATCTCAACCCTGTTTTTAAGAAAAAGAGGGATGTAGGAGTGGTTACAACAGTATTGGTGACAATCCACTGGGAATTAATTAGTGCACCCAACATTCGAAGTAGAAACTGACCACTAGCCGGAGGGGGTTCTAAAAGTCTTTGTAGCACACATCAAGCATAAGGCTTGGGTTGGTGGCCCAGAAATACTATAGTGATGGCAGAAGCAGCCATAGAAATATTTCTTTGAAAGTTTGTGATGCTGGCTCCATGTGCAGCGTCTTATTTCTAGTTCCTTATTTAAACATGATTTCCAAAACTAAACAATTAGTTTAAAGTAAAGCTAAATTCGTAGTTAAATACAAATTAAACTCCAAAAACATTTAAAATTAATGACATGCCCACGAGGATAGGTAAGATGTGTTAGATTTTTAAAAGATAATGACTGGCTTTGTGGAGAACAGATTTCAGTTTCTGAAGCAGGTTGAAATGAATATTTCTTTACATCCTTTGATTATTACTCCACAATATTCAGTTTTTATTTATAAACAGTTCTCTTCCTGCTCCCCTTCCTTTTCCCCTTAAATAGAAGGCTGTGTTTTTTTCTCCCTTTACCTTGTAAAAGCATTCACTTTGCCCTGAAGCACCAGATATAGACAGAACGTGACCTAAGAAGAATTAATGGCATTTTATTCTTCCTCCCACATTTTATTTTACCTCAATATCCATTTATTACCAAAGGCACTTTTTTGGAAGGGGAAGGGGTAGCAGAGAGCCCTAAAACAAAATTTACAGCCTTTTTGAGAAAGCAAGTTAATGGTAATTGCAAGTGGACTTGAAAATTAGGAAGCTCAAAGCTCAATTTGTTTTTATATTGGCTGTTACTATAGACTCCATCACAGCATTAGGAAAATATCACAAAAATACCAGTGGCTTAACAGTTAATCATAATCACCATAAAAGGGCAAATGAATTTAATTAAGCATAAAATTAATAGATGCTTTATTTGAAAATGTAAAAATTCACATTTATTCTATCTAAAACATTTTTTCCATCATATAGATTGCCCCAAGGTCTAAGAAATGCTCACTCAGAGAGCCACTATGACATTATATATCCACAATAAATTTTGTTTAACTTTGAGTTTTAAAAGGGTCTTAATGGTGATTGTTCCTTGAACATGCTTTTAAGTTAATAAAAGGGAAACAGTATGGAATACTGAAGTGTGTCATTTAAAAATTTTTTTTTCAAAATTGATGTCTGCCTGTTTTAAAAAAATAAAATGCAGACTCTGGGAAACACAGCTGTTAGAGCTTTGATAGAGGTTATGATTTTCAACAGTTGAGCTATAGTTTATGGTACAGATGGTACTTTGGGTATAGTTGAAACAATAATTGATGGTTTCTGTTTCCCTCCTCCTCTATTAGATTCAGAAGAGTGGAATACCTTTTTCCCAAGGCAGGAATTTTTCAGTTTCCAATTACAGCCTATATCAAATAAACAACTTTTCTATTGCATATTCCCTACTTTTCTCCACAGTGACCTGGGTGTTGGCCCCTCTCTTCTCATTATAGTAGGCTTCCCTAGATTTGAAATAATAGTTTTAGGGAAATCCTACTTTTTGGTACTAACCTGCAGTTTATATAGCCTATCTTCAGGACAAATAACATATAATTTTTCTCTTAGAATACTAAAACCAAAGTCTTTCATTGCTCCAAACAAAATTAGCAAAGAAAACAAAGCCCTGTGATGCAAAAATGACAGGAACCAATGTCATATACTTTATAAAACTCACACAGAATTACTAGAAACACAGCTATATCTCGAATTTTAAGCATATAATGTTATGTTTCAAATGACAAATAAAACAAAGGCTATTTAAAAAGGGAAATAATTCTCTCACAGTTTCTTTAGTTTTACAATATATGTTCAGACCAAAAAAGTTTGAGTGATAAATCAAATTTTCATCTTCTATTACAGTGTTTTAAACTTAATATAGCATGTTATATTTTTATTCCGCTGCTGAGTTTTTATTCTGAAAAGTAAACTAAAATATACAGATTTGCAGTATCTACCAAGTGTTCAATTATCACACTATAAGGGTTCATTTATAGCAACAGCCTGTTAAGAGTTTATATGTAACTACTCATGGTTCGAAATGCCACTGATGAACAGAATTCTTCTATAGGCTTTATCTTTTAAATTAGTTTTGTACATAATAAATTGTCCAAAATATTACTCTAGAGAAGCTAGTTTATCTTTAGTTTTCGGTGTAGTTTGTCATTTATCCCAACTGGAGTTGAAGTAAAAAGTTATAACTTAAAACTGTGATAGCTGTTACTTCCTTATGCAAATTGACATATGTTTTTAAGATAGAATGGAACTTGTAAGATTTGTTTTGTACTTTAAAGACTTAAATTCTCTTAATTACAAGATGTATGTATTCCCAACAGTCTTCTAGTCTTTTATATTGCGATTTACAAAAGGCATGGGGTCGGGGGTTCGCTAACAAATGCACTACCGTGTGGCAGCGTTTTGCACTCTGCTCTTCTAAGACAAGGGAGTTTCAGAGGCGAGAGTTCAGGAGATAGCGTTGTTGTATTACAATATACTCCCCTCCACCCTTTCCCCTAAGATTTCTTAATACAGGCAGGACTCAATGTGTTGTAGCTCACTTGGAAAGTCTGTGTAATATATAGTCAACCCTCACTCTCAATATTTAAAATTAAATCCCAAATCTGTTTCCTCCGCCGAAAAAAACTTTTACTTTCAAGTTTTGTAGGAGTTGGAAAAGGTTTTGAAGCTAGAATTCATTGGACGCGCTTTTCGAAACCTGTCTGCAGTTCATGATGCTGATAACTTGAAAAGCCACCTACTGACTGACTACCTGGCTCTCTGACAGCAGTGCCCCTTGCTGGAGCGGAGCAGCTGTCCCCGGCTTACCTGAGCTGCCTGCGCCGGGCGGGCGGGGGCCGGGCGGGGGCCGCAGTCACGCCGCGCTGCGAGCGGGCTGTGCGCGCTCCGGGAGTCGCCCGAACAATGCGAGCTGGGCGCCGAGCGCGCCCGGCCTATGGGCGTTACGTCACTGCGCTGCCTTATAAGGCGCTCCGCGTGTGCGGCGCGGGCGGCGGGGTCCTCGGGTGACAGCCAGACCCACGGCGGCGCAGCAGTTCTCCCAGGCACCGCCGACGCTCAGACCGTGTGAATGCACCGTGGGTCCCGGGCTCCCGGCGGGGAGGAATGGGCAGGGGGGAGGGGGGGAGGGGAGGAGGACGCAGGCGTCCTCCTACCGGGCAAATCAAGTCTTTGTGGGGTCATGGTCATCCGCTTGTACTTTCTCCTTCTGTTGTGAGGCTCTAAAGCTTCTGTTATTACTTCGGATTCTTAAATACCCTGTTCTTTTTTTTTAAATTACAGTTTGTATTCAATATTATTTTGTTTTTGTATTAGCTTCAAGTGTACAACTTAGTAGTTAGACAATTACATACACATACTTTACAAACATACTCTGTTATTCTGTTTAAACTTTTGTAAATACATTTTTCCACATTTGTTTTTTGGCTGCTTGGGGGAGGCAGGGGAGGAAAGCCAGAAGTTTTTTTTTTTGTGTTTTTTTTTCGGAGACATCTCGGGGGGTAATTTAGACTTCAAATTTTCTCTTTCCTCTTTGTAAAGAGTAGGGGTCCTTAGAGGATAGTATTTTATTTCCTGATGATGTAACTACCAAACAATTCTTCAAGTGATGATGGGAAGGCCAGATGAAATCTTATTTTTTCAGTGTTTTTCCTGAAAGAACTTCTTCATTCCTCATTTCTGCTTGCCTGTGTTTTAATGAAAGTAGTTAAAACTAATCAGTTTATTTGGCAGGGAAAATATTTATTAAAGAAATTAAATGTTTGGTGCTGTACTTCAAGACAAAGTATAAAAATAGAACTTTAGAACCAGTTTTAATCCAGTTCTCTTCTACCAGCAAACAAAATAAAAAATAAAGACCTGAGCAGAAAAAGGAAACTGACCAAATATTACTGAATTAAGAGATTTATCCTCCTAATTACTTTGCACATCCATTAGAAGTAATCTCTAAAGTCCTAGCCAACTATATGAATCTGCTAAATAAATTATAGATATGTGGCTGCCTTATTTGCAAGCTGAGTTGAATAGTTTTAATAACTTGAGTCTATTTAAATCTTTTAAAATTACATTAGGATAGGCTTGCTTAAAACCATTGTTTCCATATGTGTTGTCAAACAAGAGTAATGAAAATAGTGTGCTTATCCCTTTTCCTTAATGTGGAGTGGAGAAAGGCTGATTGCAAAGAATGTACAGTTATTGAAAATGCTGTGAAAACAAAGATGCAGGGTGTAAAAACAAATGTGTCATCATTGCTAAATTGTAAGGTCACTTAAGACAACTCTAGATCATTCTACCTCTACTGAGAAGCCTAAATTAAACTAACCCTGCTTTTCATATATACTGTTTTTTTTCTTAATTTTTTATTGTTGACACTATTTCAGTTATACTGTTTTAAGAGAAGTGAATGACCATACCTTTCAACTGAATTTAATATTTGATTTGCAGTTTTGTATTAACTTTTTAGATGTTGCTCTGTTAGTTTTATTACTCTACTACTAGTAAAGTGCATTTAAGCTTTTTTAGTCTCCTATGCTTGCCTTTTGCTTACTAAACACTCTCTTTGAAACTTTTATGCTAGCCCTGGCCGGTTTGGCTCAGCGGTTAGAGCGTCGGCCTGCGGTCCTGAGAGACCCGGGTTCGGTTCCCGCTAAGGGCACGTACCTCGGTTGCAGTTTGTTCCCAGCCCTGGTCGGTTGTGCGGGTGGCAGCCACTCGATGTGTTCCTTTCACATTGATGTTTCTCTCTCTCTCTCTCTGTTCCTCTCTCTCCCTCCCACTCTACCTGAACAAAGAATGGAAAAATGTCCTCGGGTGAGGATAAAAAAAATAATAATAAATAAAAAAAGAAACTTTTATGCTAGATTTGATTTATTACAAATAAGATGAAATGACTGTTATGAAAGTGGCCTGAAGCATAAACACCTGAATCTCAGCTCTAAACTGGTAACATAAAGTACCTTTACCTCACTAGTACTTGTAACTTGTTTTGCCTCCGTTTTTCTTTGGATAGATACAGAGGTTTCTTAACATTTGACACTGCCTTTTATTTCTTTCTCACATTTTTTTACTCATGCTTTGCATTTATATTTCCCAGTTCCCCTGTAAAATTTCTCAGTATTTCCTCCTTTTCTTCAGCTGGGGTAACTGAAGAATGGAGAAATTAAGTGAATGCAAGAGTTGTCTAGACCTTTTGAGGCAAGAGAAAAGAGGATAGGATTCTTAACTCCTTGTGTGCCTTGCCTGGTGCTATTACTCCCTGAAGTACTGGTCTCTGATCCAGTTATGACTCAGTGTTGCAACTGAGAGTACACTGTGTGACCACTCTCTTCAGGAGCCAATGTTAACTCTCATTTGTTGAGCTCTTAATTTGAATTCATGTCAATCACTGTACTTAGTGCTCTACATGCACTCCATCATTTAATCTGCACAATACATTTTGAGGTGGTATTAATCATACTTTTCAGATGAAGAAACACATTTGGAAAGTTAAAAATGACTTGACCAAGGTTACACTGCCAGTAAAGTAATGAATGCAGGGATTTGAACCAGCCTCAATCTTGTCTTCCCTTAATAGTTTGTTCAGAATCTCTTAGAGGTGTTATTGGTAAAGACGTGTTCTGATTTAATTGAGAAGTTTGTATTTCTATTTTCCAGACTGGATGTTAAACTAAGAATACCAAGACTCACCCTCTTCGCAGTCCACACACCAGAGCCACCCTGATTGTACACTGAATAACTCTAGGGAATGTTTTTCATATTGAATCTGTATATTTACTAAGACAGTTTTCTTGAGGATGTTAGCAACATGTCTTGTTCTATCAAAATTAGAGTGTTATGACAATTTTCCAAAAGATGAAAGTCAAGGGTCTTGAGGAAGGGGGATTTTTGACACAAGAGCACCCTGGGTCTTGTGTCACAAACTCCACCCAGCCATTGGCATTGTGCTCCACTAGCCACATGAGTTAATGAGTAGACTTCTATTTCTTTTCCTCTTTCTGCCAAAATTCTCTTTGAGATGTAATTTTTGTTCTCTTGGCTTTTGACATATATTTATTATGAAAAGAATAAATAGAATTATGACCACTGTGCCTCAGTCTTGACTGAGAAAGTTTTACTTCCTTTTAATGAAAATGTTACTGTCCAATTGCTATATGACTCTTCTTATTTTATAATCAGGAATTTCTTAAAAATAAGCACACCTACAAATTAAAGTCCTTTCTTCAATTAGTAATCTGGATTTATGATCTGAATCAGCAGTAGGTTTAAGTTGTTATTTGGAAATAGTACAAAGGAATTTTCCTACTAAGCTAATTACCTTCTAATGTGGAAGAAGGTTTTGTAGGCCACAAGGCTGGAAACTAAGATGTATTGATTTGACTGAACTGTATGAAGTCACTGATAGTCAAAAACAGTTGAATATCAGCAATTTCCCATGATTCAAGCCAAGGCCAAGATATTACAATGACCACAGCAGCTAATATTAGTAATGTCCTTGTTATTTAACTGTTTTAAAATATCATGGGCATGTTACTAAGCATGTCAAAGCTAATTCCCCTTTGTGAAGTAACTGGTATTTTCTCTCATGTCCTCTCTCCCTGCCTTTGTTTCTTCTTATGACTGGTGAAGTCTTCAGTCATCCAAGTAAGTGCCAGAGAAGCAGTATTCATAATTAACTGAACATTTCTTTCAGCTGCCCACGATTTTCATTACTGGTTCTTTCATCATTTAAAGGGTGATGTGCACTGCTCTCTGAAAGCTTTGCTGTAGGATATGGGATGGTAATGCTAACTTTGAATGTGACACATGTGCTCCTTTACCTCTGTAAAATAGTATATGTGGAAAATACTATAACACGCAAAGAAAAACAACCATTCTTGTAATGGGCATGGTCCTGTATGAGAAGCTGAACAGAATGGGCCAGATCCAGGACTGCATAGGAAGAGACAGAATTCTGTGGTCCTTCACTGCATCAGGCTGCAGTTGATTGGCCAGAACGTGTGCTTTTGGCACTGAAGTATTCCATCTCAGGGAACATTCTGACCCCTCACTGGCAGTCTTCTTGCAAAGCAGTTTTGCCCCTGAGCATTGGGCAAACCTGCCATGGATCCAGTGCTGATCTCTCCTCTACTGCCACACAATTTATGAGGAAGGCTGAAGAAGCTTAACACACAGGTGGGCAACTTTAAAATGAGGAGCCAGAAGGAAAGTCTGAGGGATGAAAGCACCTTCTCTCCATGCCAGGGGCAGTTTTCTAACCTCTTCCTTTCATTCTTTCTGCTGCCAGGTGTCATCTGCCAAGCTCTGTACATATAAATGCCCCCACAAAATATATCCCCAGGCAGCGCAGCACTTACTCTATGCACTGAGAGCCTTTCACCAGCAGTTAATGGCCTTCAGGGAATTTAGATTTACATATAAATCCTCTTACTTATCTGTAGCCCAAATTTCTGTCCTTGGCGTCCATAGTCCTTGAATTTTCTAGAGGCTCTTGAACTGTTCCTATTCATATTCCAGCTAATTTGATTTTAGAACAGGGCTTAATACCCATGAGGGCTAACTTGGGCTGATTACAGCAACTGTGTCAGTGGTGATGCTAGGGAATGGAAAGCCCTTTTTGAACATGAAAATGAATGCTATTTTGTGGCCTTAAAAATCAATTTAAAAGTAGTTCAGTGCTCATAATTTGCAAAATGTAGAAAACTAAAAGATATTTTAAACCTAGTCCTACTATATAAATACTGCCAAGTATTAACAATTTGATGTACTGTATTTCTTTTTAGTCTTTTTCTAAACATTTATAAAACAATTGTTTTCATACTGTTGGGCATGTGTATGTGTTATGAGCCTTACCTTTTACCTTTATTAAATATATTTTAATCATGTTCATGGCTTTTCTGTAAAAAT